ATGCACTTAATGTATAATTAATATTAACAGTTATTTGTTATTTGCGGGAAAAAATTTATATTGTTTAAAGCCAATTTATTTTCTGACAATATTAAGCATATGAATAAAGGAATGAATCACAAATGAGAAAAAAATTAGTTAATAATTTTTAAAATTAAACAACTTTCTCGAAAAACAAGTTGCATTTTATTTTATTTATATAAAATTTAATTCACAGAATATTCTCACTCGTAGTCTCATAATGACTTTAAAAACAGTATCCTGAGAATATCTTCTTGACATTCAGAAGATATACTGAGAATATCCTAAAAAAATCTGTAGGATATCCTGACGATATCTATGGGATATCTGGAGGACATTTATGAAAGTCTATAGAGATATCCAGAAGATATCCTGTGGATATCCTCATATATTCATGGGATATCCAAAGGATATCCAAACCGCCGATTTTTTGGATATCCTTAAGAGATCCTTTTGATATCCATAGGACATCCCTAGGATATCTGCGGGATATTATCAATATATCCCAAGATATCAATGAATTTTATGTTATTTATTACAAAAACCAAAACACAATAAAAAATAATGTTATTTAGACTGAAAATAACTCAAAATTAAAGAAAATAAACTCTACATGTTGGCTTTCAAACGTTAACACTTTAAGGCATAAATTCCACATGAAACATCTTAGGGATATCCCAAGGACATCTAAATTTCCGCCCCCGGTACTAGAAAAGGATTATTGTTTAGGGTTCATATATATTAAGTGAGCAGTTTGGGAGATAAAAATTGGTATTTAGGCAAAGGGATAGAGCAACGTTTTTGCAGAACAATTAATGTTACAAAATCGGAGTAGACGGGGGCAAGAATGTTGAAAAATAATTTACGATAGAAATAATGGGATATCCACGGGATATCCCTTCCTGTAAGAGTTATTCGACTTTAGATTTTGCATTATTATTGTTATCTTTTATAATTTGTTGAATTGTTAACAAATATTTAAATTAATAATTAAAAAATTATTTTAATAATTTGAATTTAGAATTAACATTATTATTGTTAACTGGGTATTATTATAATTTGTTTCTTTTTTTGAGTGTTAATTAACACTTATTTTAATGCAAAGGATTACAGTATTATTGTAAATTTAATTATTTATTTATTATCTTGTAAATTATTAATTATCAATTAATTAATCAATCAAATAACATTAAAACATGCTATTCTAGTTATTATTATTTATTTATTAATACGTTAGAGTAATGTGACATATTACTCATTTTATTATTCAGGAATTATTTTATATTAATTACGTTAATTTTTAATAAATGGAGTATAAATATAAATAAATATATATTTCACAGAAATACAAATACTGTTGAATAATTGAGAATTTAATATAAGTTTATTTATATTAGTTAATAGATTTATACTAGCGCATGTGCAAGGAGCTAATCATGCATAAGTTAATATTATAAGTTTATAAAATAGGAAAAATTTAAATGTCATTATAAATTAAATCATTTAGGACATAACAATGGATAATACTTTGTATTCGCATATGTGCAATTTAACTTTATAGTTGTGACATCAGTTGGCAAGGTATATGTTGTTTATTCTCATAATAGTTAAATTTTTCTAAATTTTGTATGTATTGTTGCATAATTTTATATATGTATATAATTAAATATCCTAACAGACAAGCATTGCGCTACAAACGTAATATCACATAAGAAATCAATATTTGCGCAAATCAACATCACGAATTGTAATTCCCGAAAAACTAGAGTACTCAAAAACTAGTATATAGTACTGTTTTTTAAAAGTTTCTATGACTATTTTCTAATATTTTAACGACATTCTGAATTAATTAATGGATGTAAGAAAAAATGTGAACTATGGAAAATAACTAAATCTCTATGACAATTTTGGTATCTCCTTTACATTTCTTTTATCGTATCTACCCTTCTGATATTAAAGTTTCCACCAATTCTTGTAACAATTTATGCACTTTCTTTTTACCCTTCTCTCACCTACTTTCATACCTCTAATCAGAAAGTTTCTTTTTATTTTCTCTATCGTCATAAGCTGCACCTGCCTCGATAACTCTCCCACACACTAAATCCCTGTCTCTTCCTTCTTCCCTACACGCTTCCAGCTCACTTTTTACTTCTTCTGTGTTTTTCATTTCCTTTCTAAAATCTCTATTTTCCTATTCACCTTTCTCATTTTCATAATTTCTTTTTCCTAATATTTTCATTATCCTCTTCATATTTTCTTTCACTTTCTTCCATTTCCTTTACAGCACCGGATATTTAAGAATACCCATAGGGCACCTTAGGGATATCTATTTGCTTCAGGTGGTTTGGATATCCTTAAGATATCATGATGATGTTCTAGGATATCCTAAGTATATCATAAGGACATCAAAACCGCCGGAAGCACATGGATAATGGATATCCATAGGGTGTCCCAGGGATATCCTTAAATATCTGGTACTGTGAGGGTTTGCTTTCCAATTTTCCTTTAATCCTAATTCATCTATCCTCTTCCAAAAATCATTATATTTCTCATTCGGTCACTTCCCTCTCACATCATTCAGATATTCAAGATATCCTACGGATTTCCTTGGGATATCCTTATTTTTAAGAACTAACGGATATCTTACACAAAAAAAATTGGACTAATTTTTTTTGCAACTGATTTTGATTGGGACTATATTTAAGTACATGCAGGAAAAAAAATTTATCTCAATATTTTATTTTTAATATATCTATATTATTATTATTATTATTTTATTTTTATTATTATTTTTTTATCTTGATCAAACTCTAATACATCATCACTAAGTTACAAATGTTTTCAAACTGCATCGATTTATTTTTTTAATTCATCAACTCATGTTTCATAAATAAATAAAATCTCCATGAAGAGGTAAAACGTGTTCGCGAAATTAACAAAAAAAAATTCATAATTTAACTTGGCAGAGGTTTTATTATTTTATTTTTTTAAATTTTTCTTATATCAACATAATTTAAAATATCTCTCTAAAGAAGTAAGAACAAATAATAATCTAAATTCAAATTTTATTCATGTAAACTAATAATTTGTTTAGCTATTTTTTTACTAGATCCATTTTACTTCTTAATCCTTCAGCGTTATTACTAGAAAAACTGGGTTAATGATCACTTTGTCTCTCAGTACTTTAATTTTATTAGTAAAGAGAGGATTTTATTTTCTGTGTTACAATTGTAGTGTGTACAGTTTCTTTGCGATTTATTAACTTTAGTCTAACTGCATCTAGAAGTTTTATATACAGTGTAAAATATCTCTTTATTCTTAGTTATATCTCTCAGTATAGTTGTAAATTTGTACAAATGGTTAAATGTTTCTTTATGATTCGACCAAGTTTTTCTGAATTTTTCAAAATAGATACTTGTAGAGAATATTTGTTTCTGTTATTGAATTCTTAAATAAAATTAACCGATTTGAAGAACAGAAAGAAAATTATATTTTTTAAAGGGAGGCACCACCCCCCAATTTTGATCAACTTAAATTTAAATTATTTAACGAGGTGCCTCCTCTTAATACATATTTTACAAGTATAAACTAATAAATGTTAATAAATAGTTCTGTAACCCTATCACTCCCAGGAAAAAGTGGACATTTAAGAAAAGAAAACTGCAGTTAATCTTACAGTTTTTTGGAGTGCTGATTACGAATACAACGTTAGTATTTAAAAATTAAAAATAACGAAAAATTCTAATAATTTTAAAATCTTCGTTTCAATGAGATATTTAAAAAATAAAATTTTTCCAATGGACACAGAAACGTCTTTGTTCCAAAAACATTCTTACGTAGCGCTGCTTGATCCACTTAATTCAGTGGTAATAGTCAACCTGTAGCTGTGTCAGACGGTCGCGCAGTGATTTAAGTCAACGTTTGACACAACGTATACACACTGAAATGATTGTTTGCGTTTGAACAGTTAAATTCAAATTCTTTTAATTTCGAAACAGATGTTTACAAATAAATGTTTCATAAATGTCCTCCAGATATCCCATAGATATCGTCAGGATATCCCACAGATATCATCAGGATATCCCACAGATATCATCAGGATATCCCACAGATATCATCAGGATATCCCACAGATATCATCAGAATATCCCATAGATATCGTCAGGATATCCCACAGATCTTTTTAGGATATTCTCAGTATATCTTCTGGATGTCAAGAAGATATTCTCAGGATACTGTTTTTAAAGTCATTATGAGACTACGAGTGAGAATATTCTGTGAATTAAATTTTATATAAATAAAATAAAATGCAACTTGTTTTTCGAGAAAGTTGTTTAATTTGAAAAATTATTAACTAATTTTTTTCTCATTCGTGATTTATTCCTTTATTCATATGCTTAATATTGTCAGAAAATAAATTGGCTTTAAACAATATAAATTCTTCCCCGCAAATAACGAATAACTATTAATATTAATTATACATTAAGTGCATGAGTTTATTTAAAAACTTTGAAAAATGCGTTTCAAATTTTCATTTAAAATAAATTAGAAGCTCATAAGATTTTTGTTTTTATTATATTATTATTCATTATATTAGCTTAACAATTTTAACTTTTAGAAATATATGTTGAGATATTAAATATCCCGTGAATATCCTAAGAATATCCCACGATCATCCTGAAGATATCCTGCGATATAATATCCAATAGATATTTTGTGGATGTCTTAGGGATATCCTGTAGATATCCTATGGATGTCCTGTTGATGTCCCACAGACCGGCGGTTTGGATATCCTAGAGATATCCCAAGATATCCTGGGGACCATTCTAGGATATCGACCATTGATATGGATATCATATGGATATTCTTTTGTTATGAGGGTATTAATTATTTTTAGTGTCAAAAATTTTGAATATTGATTTTTATATTGTAAATTTTAAAACATAAGGGTTAACCTTTTTTTATTTTCTTTTTTTCAGCGACAATTTCGTGGCCAAGGCAAGAACAACCCTGTCCAATTACAGGAGATTTTTGCATGAACGGTGGTACCTGCTTATTTTTCGAGACCGTCGGTGAACCAGCCTGCAGGTAAGATACTACGATATTCTGTTTATCTAGAGGAGACCGGGGCTGAAAGTGCCGATTTTGAGAAATTAAATAAAATGCTAGTAAAATAAAAACTTTTTGTTTTTATCTATAGTCTATTTATTTTAAAATTTAATGTAGTTTTTAAATCTATTATTATTTTTTGATAATTTTGAACATTTTTTTTTGTAAAAAATGATTTTGTGCAGCGAGGCAACACGGCACGTTGAACTCCGCGCTGGGGAGAGTTGTGCCGACGCCGGGGTCGGTTGTGCCGCTCAGATTTTTAAGTTGTTTCAGTTGAAGCAAATGATTTTCGGCGTAAGAAATAAAATAATTATTGTCAATATATGATTTACTATTATTTATTAATCATTTGTTATAAACTTTTAAAGGTTTTTAGGAACAATCTTAAGATTTCTATATTTTAGTAAGTAGAAATAAACATTTTCTGACTTACATTCTATAATTGCATAGATAGTCAGTCACTTAAAATATAGTTTTCGTAATAAGTATTTTTATTATAAACATTTAAAAGATTTTTCCAATAATCGTAACATTTATAGATTTTTGTAAATAAATAAACATTTTTGACTTAAATTTTACAATTACATAATTATAGTCATTCTTTAAAAATATTTTTTGGAATAATTATTTGTATCGTTAATTAATTGTAAAAACTCTACTTTCTGATTAATAAATAATTTTTAAGACATGAATACTTATTCCGAATGCGATTTATTGAAATTACAATTGACACACATATAACTGACCCTTTTTTTACCCTTCACACATTTTAAATGTGCCCAGTTTTCGCCAACCATGCATTGAATCAACTTTTCTCTTGATTTCAAGTTGGAAAAACTATTCGAACAAACGAGGCAATAGTAGATTATGGTTATGTAGCAATTGACAGCGGCACAACCAGCCCCAAGCGAAAGGCACAATTAACCTCGTTGCGTTGACGCTCACTTTTTATCAAATATTAAAAAAATAGTTAAATTAAATATTAGGTTTCTTACACTATTAAATCCGTCAATGAATTTGGATCATTTTAAAAAAAATACGTATCGATATCTTTAAAAATGCAAAAAATAGACCAAAAAGTGTAAACATGAAAACTTGCACATAAGTGACGCCAAAGCACCAAATTACTAACAGCTAATTATTCCGTGAAGTAAACAAAATCAAAATAGTTGCCAAAGATGCGCATAAGTAAAATAATAGTTTTCTCAGTTCCACTTTTCAAAAAAAAAATTTTGTTTTTGAGATATTCCTATGGGCACAACTTACCCCAGGCACTTTCAGCCCAGGTCTCTCCTACAACTAGGTATAACTGTTAATTGATTTTCTCATTTATTTACATAGTAAAATTAATTTATTGTTATTAATTATATGTAGTATAATGGATATTTATATTAATTTAAGTTTATTTTTAATTATTTTTTGCATTCTAAAATTTTTAAACAATCATTTTTTTCCCATAAGTTAAAAAAATGTTAGAACACCTATGAACATTTTTCTTTAACATTGTAGAGTTTTTAAGACGCATCTTTTGAACTATTAGCAAACATTCTACACTGTTATTTTATTCAAATTTATTGCATTTTTAAAATTGAAAAATTTTGAAAAACCTGGCTTTTTGTATTATTTATTTAAAAATCTTTATGTGTAACTTTAATATTATCATAAACAACTTAGAGAATATTTAAAAACGAATTAATTGACGAATTACGAAGTTATTAATGTTAAAAATAGATAATTAAATTGAAGGATATAATTAGGCATATTTTTATGTTTGTAAAAATATTTTTTTTATTTAAAAAAGTTACAAAATGGCGGATTTACGGCCGTCTTTCGAAGATGGTTTTTATTGGAGGGGCTCCACTGCACGCAGCACACAGGTTGCAAAAGTTAATCTGGAACAAAATAAATTTTTTTTCTTAATTTACATTAGAATAGCTACAGAAATACGTGGCCAATTTTGAAAATATTAATTTTTGTTAAATTGGAGAGTTTTTGAAATTGAAAGTCGATTTTTAGACTAAAAAATTGATACTTTTTTGTCCCTAAAAAATAGAAATTTTATAATATCGAAAATCGGCCACGTATTTCTGTACGAAATGTTGTTTTAAAGATATGATAAAAATTTGGGTAGAAAAAATGAAAATTAATTGAGTTATACTGCGTGCAGATTTGAAAAATCATGTTTTGAGAAAAACGCGTTTAAAGTTTTGACATGTGTTTAATGCATGAAAAAATAATAAATTTAAGAACTAAAAATTTTTTACCATCAGTCTGCTATTTTAGAAACATATAATTGACCTTCTAATGACATCTTTTAGTGAATTAGAAAAGTTCAAAGTTGAATTCAAAGGCGCGTTTAGCAGATGTTTTGGCTGAATTTCCTTGGCACATTTATTCCGTGGTTTGACTGTAGGATTACGATTTCTTCTGAGTCGACATGACTAAACACTATTAATAGTAATGAAAAATTAATAATGTTGATATCAACGACGATATTTTACGATATGTGAAAATAGAAAGGCGACCACAATCGAACGACTTCGAGTACTCACAATCGAATTTGTCAGTCATATTAAAATGTCATGAAAAAAATTTTGATTTTGAACATAGTGGTGGCAGTCGGTACTAAATCACAAAATATAATAAATTTACTGTGTAAATATTCATTGCACTTACCTTCTCGATTGATTTACATCAACTTGTGGCTCTTTAAAAAATGATTAAAAAAACTTTTGTGACATCCTACTCGTATGAAAAAACTAATTTCTTCAGAACACAATACACGGGTGTCTGTTTCTCTGTTATTTTCATAAGAAACATGCACTTGACATTTCACGGTGCGCCAGAAGGTGATTTAAATAAAAATGAATTGACACTTAAAAATTCTTTTTGATTATACCTAATTCTTAGATGAATGAAAAACATTTCTCAATAGTTTTTAAAATCAGTTTACGTCGAATGGTCTCTGAAATTCTTTGGAAAGAAGAGACCTTTAATTATCGCCCTATAAAAACGGCACTAATCGTGAAAATGATAAACATTAATTTTAAAATTTCTTCTTGAAAGACGGTCACTTTTTTACAAAAGCAGTTAGAGATTCTTATCTTATATAAATTTCCTAAATCCGAAAGATTATGCGAATCCATACAAAAACACGATTGCAAAACGAAAAGTAATATAATGACAGGTTCATTACGTCCTGCCGCCGTCAGATGGCAGCAGCATGCAGGGCGCACAAAGTCGCAGCTGTTATTAGATTACTTTTCTACTTTTTGTTTTGCAACCATGTTTTTCTATGGATTCGTACCGTCTTTTGGATTTAGGAAATGTATAAGATGAGGATTTTGTCTGATTTTGTTAAAAGTGTTCGTGTTTCGAGAAAAAAGTATTTTAAAATGAATACTATTTCACGTTGAGAGCGATAATTAAAACTCTCTTCTTGCTAAAGAATTTCAGATATCGTTCGACACTCTTAAGGCATCAATATAAAAACAAAACAAGAAAATAACTTCATTGTTAATAAATTTATATGAACCCAAATCTAAAACATCTATTATCTATATGCATATAAGTATACATTAAATAAATTATGGTTCCTCATAAAACACTATTTTTATATATTTAAAACTCAATTTTTTTTAAATTTGGCACGTAAGTTGATTTTAAAACCTATTGAAAAATAGTTTTTATTTATTTAAGAACCATAATCAAAAAGAATTTTTAAGTGCCAACTCATTTTTATTTAAACCTCCTTCTGGCGCACCGTGATTTGTCAGGTTTTATTCATTTGTTTATTGTCAAAAGTTACTCAGGGGTCTCGACAACTGAACCATGTCACAACCGTAAATTTCTTATGATATATAGTTGAAGATAAATTAAGATAATAAGAGAAAAGTGCCAATATAGACGAAATCAGGAAGCCACGTAATAAAAAAGTTGATTTTGTATTTGTGTAAAATTGTTTTTAATTATACGTAAAATTGATTTTACATAATTGTTATTACTGCAATGATTATTCGAGGGGTTTTTTTTATATATATACAGACACGAAATAGGGAAGACGTAATCTCCATCCCAAGTATTATGGTCTTTTATTGTTACGAACTATGAGGTAAGAATTTCGTAAATTACACTGAATATTAACTATCATCACTCACTCAAACGTCTTCAAACTTTGAGCATAACTGATCTAATTTATTCATTACATTATTATATATGAAATCTATATTTTTATTTTTATTACAGTTATTATATCGAGTGAAAATTTTACTTATGTTAACAATTATGTTTGATTGTCAGAATATATATTGTTAAATTGGGTTTCAATTGATTCTATTTCTCTGACTCAATGTTTGTAATCGTATGTTCAATGCTCAAATTCTCACTCTCTCCATTTGAATTCCTCCCTCACAACACGACGTGCATAACTTATCGAAACCGGCAAGTGCGATTAATTTAGTTAGAAACACATTTCTTAATCGATTTTAATTAAGTTTTAGTACATTTTGCAAGTTTTTGCGTTTTTGAATGTGGTTATGATTTATTTTGCTTCACACTATATAAGCATTTACAGAAATTTTTAAAGGAGTTTTAAGATGATTTGACATGTGAAAATTCATATTTTATACATTAAAAAATTGATTGCGTAAAGGAAAGTTTAATTTTCTATTCATCGAACTAGGTCGTTGCTTTAAAAAATTGCAGAGGGTGAACTTTCGTAACTGGTCGACAACACCAATAAGTTATAGTAGCACACCTTTTTCTTCTATTATCTCATAAGGTTATGAAGTTTATTGTTCTAAATTCTTTTCCGAACTAGAATATTTCATTATAATTAAGCTGACAAGGGAATCTTATCGTTATAATTTAGATTGCATGTCAATGTTAAAGAATTTATTATTTTGTTAAATTAATTTTTGGCTATTTAGACTTTAGAATTACTTTAAGCATTTAAATATAATTTAGTATCTACGTCA